GAAACCTTTATGTCTATACATGTATACATGAAATATAACTAATGTTTAAACGACCTTCGGACGGATGCCCGATACCCACCAGATCACATGCCAACGAGGAAAAGGAAACAAGGCGAACTAACCTTCCTAAGTCTTTTAAACATTATTTATATAATTATACAAATATAGGCATGCATTTAACGAAATAAATACATAGAAGAAACTTTAGTAAAACCTTTATACTTAAGAAATCTATGACATGATGTCTTTATGTAAAACAAACTTTGAAAAGGGTTTTTATAAAACAATTTTAGTGAAGAAAACCTTTAATAAGTCATTACAACTGGATGTCTCTTTAACAAACACACTTTGGAAAGCTTTGGATAATCTTTTATGTTCTAAAAAGAGATATTCATACTTTAACAAGATTTGAAAACATGATTTGAAAATCTTAATTTGATTGAAACAGTTAACATGCAAAAGTCTAGTTTGTTATACAGTTATTAATCACATGCGATTTATCTAATAACTGTACAGTTCAACTTTTATTCCCCCTCCCCCATATAAAAGCAGTTAAAATCATTTAAAAGGTTAATTCAAGGGGTATGAACTCACCTTTGGCTAGTGGATCCGATGGAAGTGTCGGTTGAGTGTTCGGTGTCAAGTGAAGACCTGAACACACTTAATGACCTAGTAACATATGATGACATATGTTTACATACAATTAGTGATTATAATACTATTTAAACACGTATAAGCATCCTAGGTAGCGGAAAACACTTTGGTCGAGTGCTAGGAGGCTATTGGGCTGCAATAGGGGTGTGTATGGCCTAGTTAGGGAGTTTACTCTTCAAGAGTAAACTATTTATGGAATTTTCTTCCCTAAGACCATATCCCCATGAGTTTATGGTCGTAACTCATGGGTGGTGTGTTCTTGGATGTTTTAAGGTCTTATATCACTCGTAGAGTTTGGCTAGGTTCACATTTAGGGCTTAAGAAGGGTTTAAGGCTCCAAATAGACCATTTAAGGGAGTTCATGGCTGTAAACTTAGAGTTTACGGCTGTATACTCTCACTTGGTCATTCCCTTCATGAATTAAGGTCTTAAATGAAAGGATATAAAGTTCTATGCATTTTTCCAAGTCAAATGGGGAAGTTAGGGCATCATTTGGCTTTATTATGGGAGTTTACGGACCATGGACCAATACTTGGGGGGTTTACGGCCGTAAACTCCTAGGTCCTTGGTTTAATTGATGTTTATAGCCCCTATTTTATTTGTGGTTGATTCTAGACATTTACCCAAGCCTTAGGAGGTGTTTAAGGGCAAATTTAACACCCTAATTGGTGTTCACGGCCCAAGAAGAGGGGTTTACGGTCCAAGAGTGTTCTTGGGCTGTAAACTCTTGTTTACTCTCCATATGATAAGGTTTTGGTGTTCTAAGCTCATATGTGTAAGTCCACAAGTCATATCTAAGCCCTAGGAGTGATTTAGGAGGGTTTTGGGGCTTCAAAACCCCATTTATAAGTGTTTTCGGTCCAAGAGGGTTCTTGGGCTATAAACACATGTTTATGAGGCTTTTGGATGTCTTAAACACGAATTTGCATGTTAAATGAGCTAAACAACAAGTTAGGGTAGATTACTTACTAGTTTGGGGCTTGAAGGAGGTGTTTTTGGATCAAAATCGGCTTTGTAGAGAGAGAGAGAGAGTAGAGAGAGAGAGAGAGAGAGAGTGAAAAAGGTGTAAATGAGGTTCATTCACCCTTATATAGGGTTTTGAGTTTGTGGCTAGGTGGAAATCTACCCGATACTGATGTTGAACGGGGCTTTTGGTCGTACCCAATTGAATGGTTGTAACTTGACGATGTCGTGAATTAGAAGCTTTTAAAAGTATATCGAGGGCTTTTCATGTGCTTCTACTGCATTTTGCACACTCATGAAGTTACAGTAAAAGTCCTAATTTAATTAACCTAATCCCAAAAGGTTTACGAAACAATTTAATAAAACAAGTTTTATTAGCGGAATAAGGGTTTACCATGACGGAATAAATTTCGGGTTGTCACATTGTTAGTGTTACCCATTAGTATCATATGTTAATTAACAATATCACTTTAATATGATTCTTGAGAATATTATATATTTCAATCTCCCACTTGCGTAAGACTCATATTAGACTGATATAAACAGTGGTGAACATCTGGCAACATTTCACTGCCCCCATCAACATACTATTTTGTGCCATTCTATAAACCCCCAATTCTCAGAAGCTCAAAGCTAAAATTGATGTATATGGTAATTTTATCAGTTATCCCTTTGTCACCGACATCATGTTAAACATGAGATACAACTCGCAATCAATCTCATCAAATGTTCAACTTTTGTTAAGGTTCCTTAGATATCTAACTCTCAACACATAAGAGGAATAAATTCCATCTTGACTACCTAAATCTCTTGCATAATTCACACTATACTTTAAAATGGCTTTTATAATTGCCTGGTTAAGGACCAACATTTGACCATATCAAAGCATAACACACCTATACTTAAGTCCCACTATGTATCTCAACTGTTAAGGATACAAATATAGTATCTTTTAATCAAGTATCACTCATGATAGTGATCCATGACGTGATCTTGATAAGGTTTAGTTCAATACTAGTTCTTTGATACATACTTATGAAACTTGGTTACAACCACTTGCCTACTTTCATCTGGTGAGACTCAACCAATCCATTTAATATTAATCTTACTTCATAATTTCTCCCACAATTATAACTGACTATGAACTTTTAGAATAACTAGAGGGAATTCTATGCGCCGTTGGCGCTGTACATAAGGAAGCATACGATAATATTGATGACATTGCAATACATATATGAAATTGAGGTTGAACGTGGCCATACAGTGACACTGACGATTACATTACCAAAAGACTATTACGCTTGACGAGTACATTACTAAATGATGTTTTTTGGAAGGCATACTAAACCTGCGAACACATTATACGTATGGATGGATGTCTTTAGGAAGTTCCTTGATGTTTCTTTTGAGTTTTTTGATAACCTCTTCGTGTTTCTTTCTCATTTCATGCATGATTTTTAGCATCCTACCGGCCTCGTAGTTGGTTTCAAACACGATTTGTTGCATCGTCAAGTAGTTGTTGTATGATGGTTTTGAGGTCATCTCCTCCATAAGTTTTTTTTTGTACTTTTGGTGCTCATGGACTTCTTCCTCCATGTTGGTTAACGAAAGCTGCTCTGCTTCTTCGTGAGAGATGAGGTTGTTGAGGATACTTTTCATTTCTTGTGGCTTCATTTTTTTGTGTTTGTGATCGATGTCTGTGATGTGTATAGTACGAGAGTATGAGAATGTTTGATGAATAAACGTTTACTTAAGTAGGCATATTGAAATTTAATACGGTTTTGAAGTGGTTGTTGGGTATTTAATGTAAGTATTAATTTTTGAGAAGACGATGGAATGTGATGTGAGTTGTGGCGGCAGTTTCAGAGTTATGTGTTAATTAGAAATTTTTGGAAGGTCTTTGGAGTTGTGTTATCATTTATTAAGCATTGAAGGTTAGTAGTTTGCGATTCGTTTATCGTAAGTGGTTGGTATATATAATTTCATGCATAATGATTATATCATTTGCTATATATAATTTTTTACATAAAACATGTATTTTATTTAACTATGTACATTAAAACTATTTAACTACGCACATTAAAACTATTATACAGCGAAGGTGCAAGTGGTTTGCAGGTGGATATCAGACGAAAAGTCAGTCTGTGGATGTATCCTTCATTTTGCGCTTATATTTACCAATTCTTTTGTGGATGTCTCCAAGTGTAAACGAAAAGTTGTCAGTCATGGATTGGTCATCGGCTCTGGCTTTTTCAAATATTTTGTGTAGTATCTGTACGTCGGGATCTTCTGTGTTGTTCGCCATGTATGACTGGATGTTTTCATCAAGGCAAAAACTTTCTTCTAACTTTCCTTGGGCAGCTTCAATCAGATTTCCGATTTCCCTAAGGAAATCGATCATAACAGCGAGACTTTTGTTGAAAAGTGTGGTTTTCATATTTTTTTTGTATGGAGAGTGAAAGATTTGTAGGGATTGTTTTTTGTCTGGAAGTATTTTTGTTTATGTACATTATATAGTGGAAGTGTATTGTTTAGATGTCCATGTGTAAGTTTTCCCTTTTCATAGGTATGGTTATTAAACATCTATATAAAGGTATTTTGAGACTCATGTGGCGTGTCATCATATCACTTAGTTGTTGAACCTATGATATGTTAGACCTACAGATGTACGCTATCTGCAAAGGGCGGAAATATTTAATTATTTTCTTAATAAAATTTGTTTTTATAGTTTTGGCTTTTATTTGGTGTTTTTGACAATAACTTAGTTGTAATTAATATGAGTTGTTGTAATGGAGTAATTTGTTGTAATTTTTTTTCGTTTTGCATGGTATTAAGTATTAACTTTTATTATGTGAGAAAGTGTCAATAAACCATTCAGTTATGTTAATAAGCAACTGTCGTTGTGGGCCGTTTAATAAACTGTTTACTTGTGGGTCGTTTATAACTATGTGACAAATTGTTAATAAACCATTCAGTTGTGGGTCGTTTATGAAAAAACGTACATAACTCATTGTCGTTGCGTATTTCACATAACTATTTATCATACAAAATATTGCATTAATTATTACATTATAGTAGGCTGCGAATACAAACGTCATCATCAGTTAAGGGTTTAACTACAGAGAGTAGTATAAAAGCTGAAAGCAAAACACTTTTTTTTTTTACATAAGTGTAACATATTTTACATAACTATCTGTCATACGAAATACTGCCTTAGTTATTACATTATAGTAAAGCCAACACAAACTCCATTATGAGTTAAGGGTACAACTACAGATACTATAATAGCTAGAACACCAAAGTTAAACATTTTTTGTACATAGCTGCAACATGTTATATACCATTAGTATTTCTTTTATGATCAACATCCGAAGAAGTGAGGTCTATTCCATTTTAAGGGCGGCTTTTCGTTTTGTAGTAACTGTGTCTGCATTTATAATTAAATATATTCACCATTTTGGCAATATGTATTTACCCTTATATATATGTACACTAGAAATGAAAATTTACCTGGATTTTCAAACGGAAGTGATCTTCTAACATTTTGTTTACTCTGTTGGTAGTTCTGAGCACTTTCTTCATTAGTATTTTTTGAAGAAGTTGGACGATCAGGAGGTGGTGTTGTCATGGAAGGTGGTACTTCAGAAGGCGTTTTTTCGATATTTGTAACAATGAATCGAATGTTGTTGTCCTTTGATGTATTTGTCATGCGAATTTTCATTTTTCTTGGAGTTCTTAGTAAAGAGACAGCAATTGGTGGTACTTCCTTTCTGTCATCTGTGTTGTTGTCTGATCTGAGGTTATCTGCTGTTGTGCCTAGTAATTCCTGTGTTGCATTATCAGACAGCACAACAGTCATGGAATGACTTTCATCTTTAATAACTGCATTCAATTTAAACCTGCATGTGGGTAGAAATGAGTTATTGCCAAGCTTCCATATTTTTCTTTTATTAATTAATTGATTTTTTCATTGTCTGATGCTTACGTGCTACATGGAGACTCAAGTATTCCATCTGATGGACAAAACCAGTTTTTCCCTTGTTTGAAAGTTGTATTTTTGCATTTCGGACATTGAACATGGTACCAAGAGTCTGAGAAGATATATTCAATTATGCAAGCCTTTGTCGTAAGAATTCTGTCCTATATAACGTACAGACGTATATAATCTGCTTAAAAGTATAAACATGATATTTTTTTCTTGTGTGGACACATATATACATGTAGGTGTAACATACCGAAAGATCAGAATGACTTTTGTCGAGTATTTTCGACAATTGTATTGGAGGATCTAAAAAAACAGGTACCTCAGGTAATGTATTGTAACTGCAATCCGTGAATTAAAAGTATTTTAGAATGTAATGTATTTTATCAATGTGCATTCTTTATGATACCTGTCCATTAGTAGTTTCATTTCTGGAATTGGTGGGTTGATGTATAGATGAGTAGCACTACTTGTTCCAAGTCGTAGTGCTCCTGTATATTTAGTATTCAACATAATACACAAGCAAATAATTGTATTTTTAAAATTATTAATGTAACAACATTTTATACGTAGTTACCTGCGTAAGTAGAGAACTTTATGATGGTTATGGCGACTATGACAGGTGCAGGAGCATTTTCGAGAACAACACGATCAAACTTTGAAGACACACTGGTGAATTCCTTCCATAAACTTATTGCAATGTCTTCACCGCTGATGTTCATAGGTTTGACACATGTTAATAACATATTACGGTAATACAACTGAAAAAGTACTTACAAATCATTTTTTAGTATCAACAATAGGTATGGTTCACTATCTTTTTTCGTGCAGTTGATAAGCTTGCTGAAGAAGCCAACAAAATCTGCAGGTAAAGTTATTTAATTGTTATTAGTGTATGTAAGGATTTTTTGTATGTTACTTGTTTTATTTGTATGAATAGTAACACCTGCATGTTGATCATTGTAATCTGGTATCTGTGTTTTGGAAACAAAAGAAAACCAATGTTTTGGAATAATGGCAGTGTCTGGAAGAGGTGTAATAGAGGTTGCTGTCCCAACAGCCATGTAGAATTCATTATTGATCCACTTTTGATAACGATCCGGTACTCCACATCCATACTTCTCAATTGTGTAGCATCTAGAAGGAATGAGAACGGATTGTAGAAAGCTTTGATCTTTTCTTTGTCCCAGAATCTGAACAACATCACCCTTGTACATAGTGGAGATTGTATATAGGGTTAATGTGTGTATAGATTAGAAGAAGAGGTTGGGATGGAAGTTGATAACTTACATTTTTGTCAACAGCCAAGAACCATGTCTCATGATTTCTAATCTGTGGTGTCCACATACGCAAGATTCGTACCTAAAGTGAAAAAAATTGTTATAATTTTATTGTCTTTGAAGAATGTATGTTGGTAATATAAAGTTGTCATGAAAAAAGATTTATTTATATACCTGTATCGCTGTTCCCGGACACCCATAATGCAATTCTGAGATTGTTGTTGTTATTTGAGACATGTCTGGAATGGTAGTCAACAAATAATATAAACATCATTTCTGAATGCAGCAGTAAATATTATGTTTTATGAGGCAGTCATGTAAAAAAAGCTAACATACATGCATCAGGTTGATGTGTGGTGTCATAGTTAACAATGAATATAAGTATGATTTGTGAATGTAACAATAAATATTAAAAGTAAGAAACATGTATTAGGCTGTTGTATATAATTATAAAAGCTAAATATGTATTTGACCTCTGAAGTATTAACTTTGTGTAGGAAGTCTCTGAAAACAACATTTTTCGTTTTATTATTTGCAGTGTTTTCATCAGAATCTATAAGTATTTTCACAGAATCTGGAGAGGTAGCACGAGACAATGCGACATAAAGTTGTCCATGTGTGAATACCGGGTGAGGCAAATAAATTCCAATTTTTTTTAAAGATTGCCCCTGGCTTTTGTTGATAGTCATAGCATAACAGACTTTTAATGGAAACTGTTTCCTAACAAAGGTAAAAGGTATATCAGGGGCTTTATGAATAAATCTAATTCTGGGGATTAAAACTTTGCTCCCAATGGAAGTCCCAGTAATAATTGTTGCCTCAATAACGGTGGACAATAACTGTGAAACCATCAGTCGTGTGCCGTTGCATAAACCTTCTTTTTGGTTTATGTTCCGAATCAGCATAACAGGAGTGTTGATTTTCAATAACAGTGAATGCACAGATATGGAAGGGAAGGTCAAGGCATTCAAATACTCTAATGGATAGAAAGTATTAAACTCTGTACTTTGGTTCCCATTGAACTCAATACTGTCAGCACTTTCATACATCTTTGAATCACCAGGACTTCTCTGCAAAACTATATCATTTATTTTTTGGATTGTTTCATTTTTTGGACAAACTATTGCTCTAGCAGACAGAGTCGAAGCAGAGGATTTTTTCAGAATATCATCTCCATAAACAAAGTCTATAAGGCTGTGTAATGCGTTTTTTGTTGGAGGTATGATCAGTGACATAGGAATCTCAACCCATTTGGTATTTGTCTTATCGCATGCATCAATTTCACCAATGAGTCCATCCCCAATTTGAAGTAACCAGGATGCAAACTTTGAGATACCTAAATGACTATCAGATGAGGTGGACAGGTTTTTAAGCCGCATATTATCTGTCAATTTATACAAACTGAAATATGGCCATAAGTACGAGTTTGGCAGCGTAAGGGAGATAATTTCAGAGGGTGTGTCTTTGGCGACACAGGTAATGTCTGACGAAAGTCTCCTCCTAATAACATCGACATACCACCAAAGACTTTACTTTCACATTCAAGGATATCTCTCAAAGAATGGTCCAAACACTCAAAACAATGTTTGTCACTCATGGGAGCCTCATCCCATATAATGATGGAAGTTACCTTCAACAACTCAGCAAGCATTGTCTTTTTTGTAATATTGCATGCGACATTATCAATAAAGTCAATTGGGATTTTGAACCTGGAATGAGCAGTTCTTCCTTGATGGAAGAAGCAGAGATGCTATACCAGAAGCAGCAACAGCAAGAGCTATTTTTCCTCTTGAACGGAAATAAGCTAGTATTGTTGTCCACAGAAAGTTTTACCAGTCCCTCCATGGCCATAAACGAAAAGCAGCATCTGTTGGCTTTTAGCTTCTGCAGATTGAACAACATTGTAGATGTTCAGCTGCTCATCATTTAGAGACGACAACATCTGTTGGTGAGTAGCTTTCAAAATGTCCTTATCGTACGTTGTCTCTTCTAAAAAAGTCTATTTCTTAACATAGCAACAGTCTCCTCTGTAGGTTTGGGCAAATGAAAATCAACAACAGATTTTGAAGGTGTAGATGACCTAAGCACATGATCCAGTTCATATAAAACTATCTGCTGTACGTGCAAATCATCTATACTTACATCAACACCAGGATTTGACATGTTTATATTGTGTACCAAATCATCACTCATTTTCTTCCATCCAAAATGCCACAAACACATAGGATTGTTAACATCACATAAAGGAGCAGATAACAAAATAAAGAACGAAGCTGAGATGATGTAGCCCATTCAGAAGCCTCAGTAAAAGCATCCATCCACTCTCGATCTTCCCCTATTAGACCTAACGAATCACAGGTAGCTCGAAAATCAGAGTACACAGTGCCAGAGACAGTACGAACTTCTTCATAAGACCTACAACCTTTTTGATGACAAAGCAACACTCTTAAGTAAAATAATTCTCCAGCAGATGGATGAACAAAGATAAGTCTACCTAATGCATGGGAATTACAATGTTTCCTTCTCTTCCAAGCTTTTGCCTGTTTGTCCCACCAGTACTTAGTAGGATATGAGATATATGTAAGATTATGACCAGTTCTATCCCACTTATTGTTATCAAACCAACCTAACAACAAACTGCTTCCAAAGTTGGGATCGTCAACAACCTGGTTAATACTAATGTTTTCTTTAAACAACACAGATTGCATATTTGGCAAATGTATAGGCAGTATGACAATTGACGGATCTCGGTCATGAATCGGAAAATCAAGTATACGCCACGCGGCTTCATGAGGGCAGAGGAAACGGCCATCGATATAGTTCTTAATCTCATCAATGATAGGAGGTTCTACTGAAACAGAAGATCCAGAAGTGTGCACATCTCTCTGAATAACAAACCTAACACGCTCCATTCCCTTCGATACATATTTGAACAAATACTTAATCATCATGTTCCACCCACAATACTCGACATTTATATGTGCATTGAAACGACAACACAGTCTTTTGTTATACGGGACAATGAACCTGTTGTCTATTTCTACACCTGTTTCTAACCTATGGACCGCACCAGATCGCCTTTTATAATGTGCATAACCATCCTTGTCAAAAACTGTATCGTTATGGAAATTTTTTGGGAATCTTTTCTTACACTTACCATCCTTCATACATGAGGACTTAGTATTTAGCAAACCACACGGTCCATGTACAAGGCATCTTGTAACTGTCTGATATAATAATGGCTCCAAAATAGGGTCAGGTAATTCAGCTGTAATGTAAGCATCAATGGCAGATGGTTCCTTTATCTTGTGGGAATCTGCTATCCATATGAGCACATGACAATGCGGTAAACCCCTTTTCTGGAATTCAATAGTATATAGATCTGCCAAAGAAAGAACCGTTAAAAAAGGAAAACTAAATAGTAAACACAATAAAATTTTCAAAAAAGGAAAACTAATTAGTAAATAAAATATAATAATCTAAATTCACTAATGAACATACGAAATTATAGCGAATATATTTTTTAAAAGAACATTGTTAAAAATACAAAAAATATTTAAAAAAAAATTAATCAGTAAATACAATATAACAATCTAAACACAGTAATGAATAATCGAAAATATAGGGAACATATTTTTTTTAAAAATATTGTCACAAAAAAAAAAAAAAAAAAAAAAAAACTTACAGCGAATATATTTTTTAAAAGAACATTGTTAAAAATACAAAAAATATTTAAAAAAATTAATTGGTAAATACAATATAACAATCTAAACACAGTAATGAATAAATGAAAATACAGGGAACATATTTTTTAAAAAAATATTGTCACAGAAAATAAAATAA